TGTTCTTATCGTCTTCTTTCGGAATTCTAACCTCAATAACTTCGTCCTCGGTGATAATGATGTGGGTGCCTGGACTCCACGAGTTCCTGTGTTTGGGATTGCTTTTGAAGGGAAACCGCGGTTTGCGATTTTCAGGTGGAATAAACCGGTGAGGCATATTCTGTCGGCGAAGCTGTTTTGCTATTTCCTGCTGCTGCAGATTTTTGAATCGAATCTGTTCTTGCCTCATCCAACGTAAACGCCCACGTCTGAAAGCTGGATCACCTGCCATTAACTGAGACACGCGCTCCTCCTTAGCAAGATCGTCATTCTCGCTTCTCTTTGCCTCATCTGCGGCCTTCTTGTCCACATCCACTGCACTGGCAGAGTTTGGAGACTTGGCATTAGCTACAGTTGACTGAGCTTTGTCTGGAGACCCTATCAGGGGTAAAACCTTCTCCATTTTTAGCATTTTATTTCTGAGAACTTTGATCTCTTCATCCTTCATGTTGTTCTGCTTCTTCACTTCTTGCAGAATATCTTCCAATTTGTCTATGTGCACCTTTAGGTCATCCACATCAGTTATTCCTTTACCGTTGGCCATCACATCTTCAATCTTTTCATCTCCAACTCCCACTGTATCCCAGACATCCCGAGCGACAGCTCGCCACGATTCGCGCTCGTTTGGGTCTTTTTTCCCATACATGGCACAAAGCTCTTTCATTTTAACAATGGCCAGAGCCTCAATCTCCTGCCTACTGTGCCTGAAGTCATTGAGTGCTACCTCATAGCATATCTCCTTCACAGCCTGAATCTTTAGGTCTGAGATGGTGACCCATTTGGAGTCTTTGCTAAGGCGTCGCCGTTGGGGTATCTGGTACATTTTAATAGGTTCTCGTTTCTTCCCACTGCTGGGGAGGCCACACTTTTTTACAATGGTTTGGAGCTTGCTGGGGGGCAGCTTCTCTCTCAGGGAAGTGATCAGTCTCCAACTCTCCTCACACGATCTCTTGTCCGAATCATCCCCACTATCAGAGTCTGCATCCTTTGGAAAAACAAAAATCAAGAAGTGGCCCCAAAATAACCAAAATTAAAATTGTAAGAAAATGGAAAAGCTAAACAAGAAGTAGCAGGCAAAGAAAACTAAATCAAAAATCAAAATAGAATAAGTGATAAGGAGGTCCCTGAAGACTGAGTGTTAGGGCATTAAAATGCATCTTCAAGAGTCATGGACTGCCAAAACTGGAGCTCTTCACTACATAAAGATTAACATTATATTTAAGTCCTGTCATCTCATAATAGCTGATAATCTGAACTCTTCCCTCCCAAACCCTTCCAAAATCTTTAAATAGTCCAACTAAAACCAAGTTCCTGGTTTTATATCTTAAAACCAAGTGTAAACTGCAGTTCACACATGCTACAAAGACATGCAAATCCCCACCACACGCAGTTGCCTTGGTGACTGCTGTTGCTTCTTTCAGCAAATCCTCCCCAGGAAGGTGAGCACAACAGCCATAGAAGATGTCATGAGCAGCCAGAGTAAGTCGGGTTAACACTGGTTAGTAACGTTGCACGTGGTTGCAGGGATGCTCAAGTTTAGAATCCATTTCACTACAACAGCAGCCAGAGAAGTGTTAGACGATAAGAAAAAATGAAACAGAAGCAGCCGAAAGGTTCAATGTTAAAAGGACTGTAAGTGCCACTATGACAGACGAAGACAGTGGTTCATACTCCAAGACTTGCTACAAGCTAGAAGGATATCCAGAATCAGAGTTTCAGAGGTGGGTTGTGGTTTGTTTGATTTTTTTTTTTTCCATTTGGCACCTTGTTGCTTAGTTTAAAGGGAAAAAAAACCATTATCAGTCTTGTCTGTCCGAAGAATGAGTTTCAGCAGAATGCAGAGCAATGACTTTCTGGTTTTAATCGTTTTAATATGAATTTTCTATTTGATATCCTTGATTTGTCTTCTTCTCAAACCCTAGAGCCTGGAGCTTCCACACACTTGCTAAGCATTATGCGCTTTGCTTCTTCATTACAAGTTTTCCACCTTTTGCTAAATGATTTTTAATGAGCAGTGCCTCGGGTTTCCATATGCTAGGAATGTCTGTTCAGATAAACTGCCACCACAAGTTAAGGATATCCATCACTGCTTACTGCAACCAGGAATTAAAAAAAACCACTTTTCTTTAAAGGCCGATTAAGACATCTCTTTAACAAGCAAGAAGTCCTACGTATTACTGTGATCCAAACACCTTCAACACAGTCAGTGTCTAATGCAGCTCTAACTAACATCCCTGTTTTCCACATGGAGATTTAGAGCACATGAGAAACCAGGAACAGTAACAGCCACTTACTCTAAAACCAAAGGAAACCCAGGTCATTGAGCCAGCACCAGATTGACATTATTGAGCTTCTTGTGACTTAATGTAGTTTTAAGAACAGTACTAGAGAACCAACTTCTAGTTTAGGTCAAAATGTAAGCAAAACACTGATTTAGAAACTCTTTGTGAGTTTCCAGCTGACAAAAGTTGTGGCCTAAGGAAACAGCATCTAGCAAACTGCACAGAGCAGTGGAAAGCAAAGGTTCCCTGGAGGAAGCCCCAGTGTAGCTGGGCCACTCAGGGATACAACCAGGAAGGCAAAACATGAACTACTCCAACACTAAGTCACAAGTTCCACAGGACTCTGACAGTTACAAAGCTATAGAACTACTTATGGGTAAAGCATGTCTTCGTATCAAAAAATGATGAAGAGACACTGAGTCATTGCCCTGTGTGCACTCAGAGGTTACCCACACCAGTTAGTGCAGCTATAATCAAAACTCCAATATCAACTGGCCACTGCAGAGGCATTATGACCATTTTAGCTCTATTACACACATTTTCACAACCAGTTTGTAAAATGGAGAGCAACTACTTCTATTCCCTAGTAATACTAGCAAGGTAAAGATATTTTAGTTGGCAATTTTGGGGGCCAAGAGCTATTGCTTATTTTTTTTATACAGCACATCTAACAAATAAACATCCAGACTGGTTGGAATCTCAGCATAAAATCAAAGCAATCTGGTAAACAGGATTAGCTAGCTTCTTACATTTGAGATTATACTCCAGTTTAGACCAAGAAGAATATTTGTATCTCAGTATCAGTCTTACACAGCAGTAACCTGCTATTGTTCCTGCAGCTGGCTATGGAACAATGCAAACACTTTAAAGGCACACAAGCTGAAATGCACTCCCAGATTTCCCACTCATCATTCAGCTATGGCTGCATGGATGCACTAACCCTGTCCATCCCAGGCTCTGCACACAGCAACACAGAAATCATGAGCTGTGTCAGCAAGCTCTGCTGTCACCTGGAATATTCTCATGGAGCACTGAGATAAGCAGGGTACTGCTCCCTGACCAAGATCTCATTTGATATGATCCCTTACAACTAGGACAGGTGTCCTCCAGGAACTGCTGAGCTATGTAGGGTAGCATTCCACCCTTGTCCACTCACTGAAACCAGCGAGAACAAAACAAACCTGAAGAAACCAGCATCTTTATTATATTAACCACTCCACTCTCTAAAGAATTTTCCCTTAATCTGAAGTATTTGGGGAAATAAATTTCCTTCACAACACTTTATAAATGCAGCCTTATTGGAAGCAGCTTCCCAGACAGCCAATTTCACATCTTTAATTCATACAATAGCTTAGCTTGTGCCAGTCAGCTAAAATTTAGAGGAGGGAATTCCATTACTTGCATCTCATTTGACACATTGCCAAAAGTTACTCAATACTCAAACTATTTTTATTTTCACATTTTTACTGTACTATTTTTTTGCTACCCAAATTTTAACTATAAAATTCCAGAGATGAAACATTACATTAGTCACATTTAAGCTTTTTTTTCTGAACTAATGGTTGCCTTGGTCAAAGTCTGCAGCCACTCGTCTCGATCCAAGAAATTAGCCCCTTGTGATGAAATAATTACAGATGCAGAAGTCTCTAAGTGTGTAATAGGAATTTTTTTAAGAATTATGTAGCTTCTTCCTGTGGAAGCCACAGTACTTTGCTCCATTCTGGCTTGGGGAGAAGGGCAAGAGCTTTACAGTGCAAAGTCCAGCATGATTTAACCCACAGTTTTCAGTGGTCTCCATCTCATACTACAAACATGAACTGTGAGTTTGAAATTTTTATCAGAATTCTGGCACAACTACATTTGTGTTCTGGCTAAAGACAACCAGCTAAAGCAGAAACAGGAGACTCTGGTTTCCTAGGGAAATCTAGACTTCATTCCTGGGTTTGGTCTTGTTGTTCAAATTCACAGGGTGCTTGAAGACTGCATGGATTTCTACTTGTAATGCACTTCAGAGGTATTTGTTGTGAGAAGACTGAAGTCTTCCTATATCAGACTTAATTTATCAGACTTCCTATTTGACAAATACGTGGAGTGGTGGAATTCCCAGTGCTCTGAAGGAGTTACCACACTGCTCCCTACTCAGAACCCCACCACTGGCTTGTGTACCACCAAGAACCTCACAAGGAACTCCATGCAGGGGAGGGAGAAGGGTTAAAACATGCACAATGCAGCAACATTTTCAGACATCATTCAAAAACTAAACCTAGTGTATCAATGTTCTAGAAATCTCTTTGGCAGCACAAAATTAGTATGTTCTGGTGATCCAAGACAAAAATAAAGGCAAACATCCCAAGGAGTAGCTGTTTAGATTACTGAAAAGTAACTTCAAAAAACACAGAGCACAAAAATGCCCGTCTTTCACGTTTACTTGCAAGAAATCCAATCTATCCCAACAAGAATTGATTATAAAGCCTCTTTACTGTCAATCACAATCTCTGAATTAACCTGAAGGAGCTCACTCACACTGCTAATAATTCATTGTAGACACAAAGAATTTGAAAGCAAAGGGAGAACTGCATTGTGCAGACAACCCAAGCAGGTTTCCTAAACTTTCAGATAAGCAAGGACAGGAATTACTGTTTGTCAAAGGCATAGTTAATCAGGAGTAAGGGAACATACCAGTCTTTGCTGCTCCAACAAGAGATCAGCTTCCTCCTTCTCTTTCTTATATAAGATCTCCATTTCTTGTAATCTGAAGATGAACAGAACAGAAGTAGTCAGAGGTCATTAGTTTCCTGTTGGTGTTACTCTACATGCACAGTCTCCTGAATTACAGTTACAAGAGTAAAGGTCATTGTCCTTAAAAGGAACTGTTCTCTACTACTCAGTACTACTGAGGTAAAACCCTGCAAGCTGCATTTCAGCCCTTTCCAAAAGGGCTGCAGTGTTAGTGGCCAGTGCTTACCTGTGATTTTTAAAGGAGCTGGAGCACTGAAACACTACAGTAAAATGAGGAAGCTTTCTGAACTTCCACAAGGGGTAGCAGAGATGCTATGTGGCAGAACCCAGTAACCTACTCCTGACTCTTCCTTCTTTCAGGTTGAAATTTTGAGTTATTTTATTACCTTTTCTCCATCTCCTGCTTCATGTCAATGCCCTGCTTCTCCAGAAGCTCCCTCTGAGCAAATGTCCAGTCAACTGGCTCTGAGGGAGTCTCAGCTGATGGTGTTTTCTCTCTTTCTGCTCGTGCTTGCTCTGGGTGGTTGAATCTGAAGACATGATTTTTACCCATGATGATACGATTTCCTAGAAATAGGAACAGAAAACTGCAGCTGACAGAAGAATGGTACCAAGTTCTATTTAATAGCTAAAGGTGACACTATTCCTAAGCAGCACCTAGCATTCCCCATATATGATGCCAATGTCACATACAGAGAGTCTATAAAAAAATCTACGGTAACATTTCTTACCTGAGCGCAACTGCACAGGCTGCACAACCCTCTTGCCATTCACGTAGGTTTCTGATCGTTCACAAGGCTCCAAAGTTACAATAACTACAAAGAAAACATTGATGAGTGAGACTTTAGAGAGTCCTGTAGAGGAACAGAAGTGTGGAAGTCCCAGAGGCCTGTCATTTGTTGCCTATATTCATACTAACACCAAAGAAGTCAATCATCCCTGGATGTCTTGCTGCTTAAAAATAAAGACCCAAGAGGAAATCAATAGTACTGACTTCTCTACTTACTGCAGCTGGAAACTGCTTTTTTTTCATGTTTATAGTTAACCAGGGTCAGAATTTAACTGTTATACTGACTGCAGCCTACAATTTGAAGCTATTATCACCTAAACAAATTTTATTTTCTTTCCCTACGACTCAAGAAAACAAGTCAAAACTGATCCTTTTCTTGAGGTCAGAAAACTCCAAATCACAGGATTCCCTGGCCAGCTATGGGAGTGACAGAAGGTGAAAGGTTCAGCAGTGCCCTGTCAGGAGAAGCAGGTTCTTTTACCTTCCCCGTTGTTGTTCCTCTCGCTGCGGAAGACGCAGTGCTCCTCCTTGATGTGAGCCCCGCTCAGCACGATGTCCTGGCGCCGCTCTGCGTCAGCCTGGCCAACCCTGCAGCCAACACAGATGTGTCAGCAGCAAGCCAGACACCTTCTACAGCTCTGCACTGGACAACACTGCCCACAAACAGCCAGGAGAAAGCCTGAATATTAAGACTACCCTTCAAATTTGAAGGTTCGGACCAGCGCTTAATTCTGCACTGCAGAGAACCTGCCCGCTCTGCCATGAATGGAGGCTTTGCAAAAGAAAAGTTTTCTCTCCCTTAAAACATGTCACTTGGAGAACTGAAATGTCAAATACCTCTAGGTTTAATGCAATTCCTTCGCTCTTGTGAAACCCTTCTCCTTTTAGAAAGGGAGGCAAGGGGGGGAGGAACCCAACAAGAACTTCCAGTGCTGTGTTTGAGCTGGCAGACAGGGATCATCCCTCCCACTAATCACCTTCTGCACTTGAACAAAGGAGCACAAATGGCTCAGGAGGCTCTTGCTGAATAATTTGATGCCACAAGCAGTTTCATCCAGCATCTAGACAGAGAGGTTGGCTGTTCCCCTGGAGCACAAAGATGTATGTCCATTTCAAACCCAAGTGTTTGAGCAATTCTAGGTAGACAGCTTAATTTCCAATCCTAATGTTTATGAATTTGCTCTACTTATTAATTTACACATTTCTGATGCCAATGAGCTAGGCTCAAAACTTATAATGACTTCTTAAGGCCCAAGCTGTTCTAGTCATCATTCTCTGCTGAATTCTCTACACTTTGATACTCCTTTCAGTGGGCTTAATGCACCTTGGATAGTACCATATGCCAGCCCCTGTCGGTGTACTCGCTTCCATTTGCTCCCCAGGAATACACACACTAAGCAATCAAACACAACTTGGTGCTCCAAAAAAAAAAGATAAAAATCATCTCTCTCCTTCCAGCTGTTTTGAAAATAAGTTTTGGAATAAAATCAATTTTGAAATTGAAGTCTGGCAACTGAATTTTATCTCATATCTGTGAATGCAGAATCCATTAAATGTGTACTAAGCAAGCAAGCTAAGAAGGCAACTCCAGAGTGTATCAGCACCAACTCTCACCTTGTAATGCCATCTTTGATGTAGTACAGCAGACATTCAGACATGAGTGGATCTTCATTAAGGTTTACAAGATGAGGAGTCTGAAAGAACAAAAAGAAAAAGTTAATTAAGAACTGAGGTTCTGCTTTCAGGCTCCTTCCTGCAGCTGTGGAGGGTGAGCTTTAATCCAGCAGTTTTGCCACGTGTATCGAGATTATTCCATAATGGATTTTTTCAAACATAACCTCCTAAAGTATTGCAAAGCATCACAAAGTACCAGTGAAATACAGCTCAGATTGCTTAGTTATCCAAAATATCAACCCATGGAAGGAAGAAAGGCTTCAGCTGGAGAAAAAGTCGTCCTTATAAAGTCTCTGTAAACTTTGATAAGGGAAGTCCAAGAGCAGAAAAGGTTGCTTCAGTGAAATTTTGAAACTGATATGGAATCAACTTTGGCTTTTCTTGGGCACAGGTCGGGTGCTTATTTGGCAAAGCCTGTTAACATCAAAACAAAATCTAAAACTACCAATATTCTCTGATACCAACAGCTAAGAAGCTCTTCATCTAAACTTCTTCTAAATTTAAATCCACTACAGATACTAAACCAACCTTCTTTGGTGAAAAAACCCCATTGGAATCAGCAAACAAGTCACAAGGCCTTGGTGTGAAAATCTAGCCAGTGAGATGGCAGTAAGCACAAGCACAAAAGAAAAGGCAAAAATGGTTAAACATAAGTAAAGCAGAAAGACGATAAAAGAGAAACAAAACTGTTAATAAGTCACTTGTCCCTTTGTTATCCTCAAACGGAACAAATTTAGGAAAAATAAATAAATCTGGCTCAGATTCCTTGTCAACACTATTTCCATCAACTATCGTAGATGCAAAAAAGTTTACTATGAGAGCTTTTAACAGCACTACATTTACAGAAGCTGTAATTACTGCCCAGTCATGACGAATTTGTCTTTGAATGAAGGACTCTGATTGTCAATCTCCCAATGGAAGATTAAGCTATAAGGACAGAAAGGGGGAGAAAAAATACAGCTTTTTCACCCCTAAAAATCCAGGGGTGACCCAAAGCTGCAGCTGAAGATGTTCCATGCTGCCATTGCTGTTCACTGCACAAATCAGCACTTGAACCTCTTTAGAACTTTTCAGTCCAGAGAAAAATGGAGAGAAACCAAATCCCAGACACAGTCAGCTGCTGTAACACCACTACAACTTGCACCACTTGAATACTTTGTAAGAAATAAAGCTCCACAGCTTGAGAGATGATGCTGGCACTCCCAACTGTTCACTCCCTGCCTATGATGAGATACATACTGGTACCTCAGAAGTGTAGAGTCTTTACACAGAACACTTCACATTTTCTATCTAAGCTCTCATCTCCTAAATTTTCACAACAACCACAGTTACTAGAAGGACAGCTAATGGAACTGCAAGGATAGCAAGGAACAGAAGCAGACAGGACTGGGTTGGGAGTTTCACTTCTCCTAATAAATCCTATGTAGGTAAAAATAAATACTACCTATTACCCAAGCAACTACTTTATCCAGGTGGCATTTATACACAAACCTGATCAGCTGAAAATGCACCAAAAGAATCATCAAAAAGAGCTGATGGCCTCTGAGGAAAAATCTAAAAGGAGATGAGGATCCATGACGTAAGAGAAAGAAATGCAAAGAATAGTCAATGAATCTGCCTCTTTACAAACCTCCTGGAGCAGCGACCAAAAGCAAACTGGAGTTCTACCAACTCCAAGCATTGCAGACTAACACAATTCTAACTGAAGGATTAAACACTTTAACCAATTCTGGGGTTCTACATTTCTGTGCAGTGCCTCTGAATAGGTCCCTGCTTAACCCCAGATCAAGTTTACTACACACTTGCACACTAAAATATTACCCATGCTGCTTGTTCAAAGATTTTTAAGATAAAAGAAAGTAGGTTTTTTTTCCTTGTACTTCTATAATTCTGCTTTACCTGCAGAGACAGTTTCTTTGCTAACCTAATTATTTTACACTTACAGCACTGATTTATGCCCTTTTCCTGCTCAGTTCTCCTTCTTTCAAATTTCAGAAAATAGAACTAATAGCAAGTATTGAATTAAATATTCCCTTGCATCCCCTGTGTTCACTGCTTCATTAGATCACCATCCTTTTTCCAAGGGGAAGAAGGATTAACAAACAGTTCAAAGAAGAGCACCTAAACAAGCCTTACATCTCCTCTGGGTATCTCAGAGAAGAGCAGGTAGAGCACACAAAGGTCACACACAGCTACTGCAGGAAATGGCAACAGAATTAAGACACAGCACCTTTCGATTTGCTACTGAGTCAAGATACAAAAGGAGCTGCTTCTCCTTACAGCACAGCATCTTCTAAAGGAAGATCCAAAACAGTTCAACTCTCATCACCCTCCTCCCAGGTCGTTTAGCCTTTTGGAAACAACATGCAATAGTTAGCAATTTTCTTTACCTTTTTGGGTGAGAAGACTCCCAGTGTTCCTCCATCTTCCCGAATGGCAACACCCATTTCTGCCAACAATGCCTCCCTGAGAGAGAAAAACAAGATATTGACCTCATTTTAGGCTTCTTAGACAAGTAAGGTGTAATGAAAGCCAGGTAATTACTGTATTAGACTTTGAACCAGCCTACCCAGGACTGTCACCACCCCAGGGCACACCAGGGCAACATGGTAACTTTAGTCTGAGAGTGGCCCATGGAACAGCAACTTTAACTGTGACAAACCCAGGAAAGAGCAGGACTTCCTCCCAGTGTTGCCCTGCTGTTCCACATCTGACACAAGGGACAGCAGAACCATCCCTAACACCATTCCCCATTGCTCTTGAACAGAGTAACCTTCTCCATTTTCCACTTTCCAGAGACCATCCATACTACAGCACTTTTGATTCCTGACCTTTCCATCCTAATGGCCTCTGTTTTCCTCAGTTTCTCTTCCCATGTTTCATTCAGCTCTGCAATGATCTTCTCAGACTCCTGTGAGAAAATACCAAAAGCTGTTTTACAATTCTTCCCAAAGTTCTTCACATGCACAAAGCAATTGAAGTCTGTGCTCTATTTAGGCCTCAAATTAATTTCACATATAAAAAGCGTTCTTAGCACCTCAAAACTCTTGCTTGTTTCCCTTCATTTTAAAAAGGGCAGATAGTCCTGAAGGCAAACTGAGAATAAAAGATTACTTCATATCTAACCACGGTCAGACTTTATTTTGAACCACCTAAACTCATTTCCCTTTTTTTAAAATCTGATTTACAGACATGATTCAGTAACTGACTGCCAAGGAAATGCAGAGAGCACACTGTTATTGCCATGGCAACGGAGGGTTTCCAATAGGAGAGGGAAATGCAGAGTGTGCTCAGCCCTGTGGCAGTGTCTGATGGGCAAACATGAGAATGTCGCAGAGCCTCACCACAGCCAGCTCTGCCCACGCCTCCACCCCTGGACATTGGGGGGGCTTTCATAAAAATCAAGAAATACTTCACTGTGATGCACTTTGCTGTGGTTCAATTCCGTGCAGCACTGGGACAAGGCTGCCTTTGTCTGGCCCAAACATGCTATTCTGTGCTTCACATTTTAATCTGTGGGGGCTGGGCCAAGACAACAGTGGCAGGATTATTCTTCTTCCTTTTTTTCAACTTGGGGGTAATTTGGTTTTCTGACAGCTGAGTGCATTTGCAAGTCAGACTTGGCTCACACTAGTGCTGACCAGGCCTCTAAGTCTACACTTATGATCACATTTTCCATAACTACAACTGCATCAGATGACCTGCAAATAAGAATCAAGAATTTAATTTATCATTTAATTGTGGCTCCAGGCTACAATTAAACCTAAATAATCTTAACCAGAAAGGTTGTGCATGAATCCAGTTTCTAGCCCACTGCAGTTAAGTGCCCTCTTTATGGTGCAAGTGGGTTTCAGACAATTTCTGCAGACACAGGAGATATTTATGAAAGGAAGTCCTCTCAGGTTCATGATTCTTTAGCCTCCTTCACACCCACCTTCAAACGCTCAATGGCCTCTTCTCCTCCAGGTGTTGACATGATTCTTTCCTGTATACTGGACACAGATGTTAAGCCCACCTGACTACTGAGAGAGCAGGAGGATGGAGATGCAGTGAGGGACCCCATGGAGGCTGTGGAAAAATTGCCAGGACGTTGATTCTCGGAGGCTAGCAAGTATCTATGCTTATTGTTCTGAAAATCTTTCAGATCTGAGAGAGAGACACACAGACAGAGGGAAGGCAGGAAGATGGGAAAACAGGAAGGGGGAAGGAGGAGGAAAAAGGGAAGAAAGGAAGGAAGGAAATACCAGTGTAAGAGGAAAGCATTTAAGCAGCAACAAGGCAAGTTTTGTAATTTTTAGATGGCAGTTCTGAAACAAATCTTTTAATACTAGCAGCAATAACATAATAACTCAACTCAGACCCTGAGGTTCACTAGGAAAAACTGCATCATAAACCTTTCTAAACAAAAAGCTTGAAAAACTAAATTATACCTTGGCAAAAAACAGCCATCCTACTCCTCACTGAACACTAACCTGAGCACCCTGAAGCTCAGAGCAGGATCAAATTGAGATCCTCATGAGATTAGTGACATTTTGGGCTGATGTCTGAGACACCAACCCCTTAAGCTCAGGAAAACATTCTCTTCCAGAGCCCTTTAATGTGAAATGATGATTAAGTAAATCTTTATCACAGCAGTGGTTCTGCTGCTGAAGCACCCAGAGCACACGGACAATGAACTTCCTCTCAAGTTCTCACCAGAGAGGATGTGAATCACCTGTCAGTGCACGACAGGGACAAGAAAACAGAAGTTCACAACAACATCATTATGCTGCTTCTTCTTGACCTTCCTTATCTGAATAAAAATGGAAATCTAACATATCTGATCAGCAAAATATCTGATAAGGGTCTTACACTTCAGAAGGTGCTTCAAAGCTTTTTGGCTGTTAGTTTAAATAAGACAGGTCTTTTAAAAACCTCCAAAATTTAACAAGTTAGATTTTGTAGTCTGAAAACCTGCAGGCCTGAAAATGCTGCCTTGAAAGCCAGAGAATAAGAAAAGCTGCCTGAATGATTTAAGAACAAATATACAAGGGAAATTTATATTAATTTAACTTGGCTTCTTGGATACATCTGTAAGCCATATCCTCAGAATAATCACACACCAAAAGAAAAATCTTCTACACATGAAAATATCAGATAACTGAATAGCTCAATTTTAATATTTTAAAATTTAATTTCAAAGACAAATGCTTTAAAATAAGTTACTTCAGGAAAGAAACAGGTCAAATCAGACCCTGCAAGTTATAAACAGGGGCATCACACTTACAAAAGTGAGATGCTCCCCCAGACATTGCATAAATTTCCCTGTCCTCCTACATCTCCTCTACTCTTCCCCTGAACAATCCTGCCATTGTCAGCCTTATGCCCTAGTTCACTCCGTGCTCAACCTGCTCTTTCAGCCTCATGGAACTGATGACTGCCCCGAGTCAGTTTGAAAACCACCATCTGCAAATCCGGGAGGCAGGGCTGGGAGTTTCACAGAAGAGAAGCAGGTTAAGGGAAGGGAATGCTGCCAGGATGAGGAAAGCAGGCATGACAGAGCAGGGATGAAGTCTCAAAAGGCCATGCACTCCTGAAGAGAAAGGCAGTGGCACTTGCAATAGCTCCGCAGTGGCTGTGACCACAGAGAACCAGAACCTCAGGACCATGCACGCTGCTCCTGGAGCCGCAGCTCTCACACCACGACGTGCACACGCTGCAGGCAGCATCGCAATGTCACACAGGCCAGCATGAGTCTTTACACCACCAGTAGCTTCGATTTTAGGAAATTTCAGACAGATCTCTTTCAGCTGATATCGAGTGAGGATCAAAAAGACTGACTGAAAGAGTTTAAAAAGCCTATTAACTCAACATTTACATGGAGTACACTTCCCTTGCATAGACTACATATATTCCTCTTTCTTAGAAGCAAACACCAAGAGAAATAAAATGCTCTTTGCTGACTGGTTTTAGCCCTGTTAAGTTAATCAACTGCAACCAAGTTGATTTAACCTCAAAAAAAGAGACCTTCATCAGTAAGATATCTGCCTTCTTTCTTTTTTTTTTTTTTTTTAATGATTATACAAAATACATTGCAGTGTCCAGGAGGAAGTGGTAATACTTCATCTTGAGTTCATCAACCGAAACATTTAAAGCAAATACTTCAAAGTGGAAAAAAGTTGCTAAAATGCCAGGAAGCTACGTGAGCAGGAACTGAGTAACTGGGGAAAGATTTGAGAGAAAGATTCTCCTGTTCAAATCTAAACCGTGCACTGTCATGAAAACACACTGGAGAACTACCACTCTCCCTTCTGTATTCTGCCAGAAAGTAACAATGAACATATGTTGCACTTCAAACTCTGCACTTTTTTTGGTTGTGGACTCAATCTAAGAAGTGCTGGTGAGGCTGGTTTTCATGAACCTGCACTTCATTCCAGTGAGTGTTCTGTCTGGGATTTCCCTGTGAGAAATGCTGGCATGCAAAGCTCTGTTAAAAGCTGACCCAGAGGAAGCAGGTTAAAAAGAGAACCACACAATACACACATTTGCCTCCACTTCCAGAGTATTCATCTCCCATTGGATCAACTGAAAGGAAGCAGGAGGGAAAATACAAGAAGGATCAAAACTGAAGGTTCACTAGTGACATAGGAAGGGAAGAGAATACTACTTGATGTTTAAAGAAACAAAACACAGTTTTCAGTAACACAGGTTTTTTTCAGTTTGGATTTAGAATCAAAACCCACAGACTGTAACAAGCATGAAAAACACTTGTATTTCATTGTCTTCTGGCCCCATTCTCTTGAAACCAAGCAAACAAAGAGGCAGATACATGTTGCATGTCTTTAGTAGTCTGTGACTAAGTCAGGACTTCTGCTTCACCAACAAAGAGGTCTCAAAAATCAGAAACTGGTGCAACACCTTTTTTTTTTGTCAAAGAAGCTTTTAATCCACTGGACTACATTCTGTGCTTTTATGGGCATTTCCTTCACTAGGAATTAAATCACTGTTCATATTACAGAAGAATGTAGCAGCTAAAATTTCAGTTCATTTGTCTTGTTTGGAATGAGGACAAAGAAATTGGGCACAAGTGTGTTCTAGTGCTTTAAGAGGTTGCTGGCAAAGCAAATCAGTACAACACTGCTCTGCCAACCTAACTCAAAATCTCCCAAAAGGATTCATTAGTTATTCACAAGCAGCTGTTGCATAGTTACTTCACGATGACAAATGATTTGTCACTCAGGGCACTGTCTAACATTAGCCATTGTTTTCTTTGTGAGCAAGGATGGCATTGAAGCCAGGTATCAACTAACAACGTTAACCCTCTGAGGAGGAAGCAAAGATGCCTTTTTTCCTCAGTATGAAACTGAGATTTTATATCTCAGCTCTTTTATTGGCAGCCAGACAAAAAGCTCTCCATAAGTCAGCAGAGCAACTCTGGAATGTGCAAGTTCTATTACACAAAAGCATTTCTACAATAATAGGAAAATTCAAACTCCATATTTTTCCTTGAGAGCTTGAAGGTGGCTTGTCAACTCCATACACAAACCTAAGATGGTTGTTCAAAGACAGAAAGGGCTGCCACTTCTAAAATCATGTTCGAAACTTAAATATCAGCACCTATATTTAAAATCTGTGTTTTAAATCCCTTTCTCTCACTGGCTCAGGTCTCCCTCCTCTGCTAGAGGCCAAGCCCAGGACAGTGAGGTGTGTTTAATCCACTTACTGTCAATAATATCTCCCAGCCCTTGAGCACGCAGGAGATCCTTGAGCCTTGTCACCTCCTCCTTCAGCTCCCGCACCAGCTTGGCGTTGGGATCTTCATTGATAACAGCATTGCATTTGATCTGCTTTGCACGATCAGCATATCTGCAACCACACAAAACAGTGAAACCTCACCACAAACATGGAACTGATTACACACAACTTGTATGCAACACAGGAATGCAGCAGCACAGAAGACATTTCGCTTGCAGCTGTATGTCAGAAGAGGAGGCAATAAATCCCTGCTTCCTCTGTAGGGTAATTGAATTCTTGCCAATTCTTTTTCCCCACAGATAAGTTCAACTTACAATAAAGCAAAGGTTTAAAGGACAAAGCATGGCCTTTACAGCAAAGAGTTACCATATCCATCCCAGAGCAAGAGAAAGTACCTTAAAGTGCTCAAAGTTTCATCGTAGTTTATGTCTGCTGGACTGAGAGCAGCGACCATTGCAGTTCTGGAGTTACCACCTAGAGTGAACAGGCAAGAGTTTAGATCAAACTACTGTGGAGTGCACACTCCAGGCATTACCTACCTACCAAATATCAACGTTTTCAATAAATTATAGAATTCAACTGAAGTACTAATAAACATACAAAAAACACAGGAAAGAGTTGTAGCATTAACATAAGGTGGAACTATGACGACTCAGATTTGGCTACTAAAGATATTTAACCTCATACTCAATACAAATTTAAATGAGTTAAAAGCAGTCAGGAAATTCAGTGAGACTTTCTTTTCATATTGGCACAGGCAAATCAAGCATACCTAGATTTTCTCGAAGAAGCCATGTTAGTACAGAATCCCTGTAGGGTATGAAGTCTGTCTTCTTCTTCTTTTTGCTCTACAAACAAACAGCACAATATGAAAAATAGGAAGGATTTTCTGTGTAAGAAAGATGTGAACATCTTCCTGACATTTAAATTCTGTGTTCTAACACAATTCCAAGCAACAAACCTTACACTAGGCAAAGAAACCAACACCTACTCCTACTCAGACATCGTACCTTGCTGGTGCAGTTATCCTAAGTTGAAAGCATTAAGGAAAAAGGGAGAAGAAGAAGAATGAGCTTCTTAACAGAGATTAATACATTGTTTCCATGTCAGACAGTACTTCCTTTTCTTAAAAAGCCAAATTAATGAGAATCACTTCAATTTTTAAAAAATCATCTAAAAAATACTTCAGCATATTCAACCTGTCCAAGGTTGACTCACTTTTAAAAGTGTTGACTCACTTTTAAAAGGAACAACAATAATTTATTTGTTTTGCTTCTTTGGGGGTTTTTAATAGTAGTTGAGTACAAAAAGTGCTTTCCGAAACCCACAGCATTTTGCTTGGATCAATATATGCTTACTTAAGACATTATTAAGTCTTGCCATTGCAAAGAAAGCCAGTGAATCAAATTATTGCACTGGTGTTTCCTATAAATTTTAACAACAAAGCTGCAGTTAAGTTTTCTAAAATTATTCTTTCAAATAAAAATAAAATTACTGCACTGCAGGTCTAAAAACTTGCTATGTGAACAGGTCTTCTACATAAACACAGGCTTCTTTTGCAAGGCTTCTTCACAGTTAAACAAACCAATGCTTCCATCTGTTGACAGCCTGTGTGACACCCACAGAAGAGTATCAACTCTATTAATCTATCAAAATACACACAGCTAATAGGGCTGAGAATGCAAGGCCAAGAACAGCAAATGATTCTGCTGTACTCCACAGATTTTACTGTTTCCGTTTGACCAGTTATGCAAAGGTTGTTGCAGGCAAGGAAATGCTCTACTTACCACTTCAGCCAATGCTGAAATAACTTTGCCCAGAGTTGTGAGAGACTTGTTTATATTTGCTCCTTCCTGAGAAAAGAGAAACCAGTATTATACAGTAATTAAAACAATTCAACCATGAATCTCTTCAGGTCTTCAGGTTTGCAACTCTTTCTCCCATAGTTATAACTTATTATCTGTCCAGCAGAGCCTCCACGTGATGCCTGTGCCCTCCCCAGCCCCGCACCTTTAGCCGCGTTCCTTTGGCACCGGTGGAGTCAGCTCGCTCACTCCCAGCCAGATCCACCAGGCTGATCTTGCTGACCTGAAGGGAGAAAGCACATGAACAGGATTGTGAGAGCAAGGACAGAACTACAAAGTCACTGCAGGGAAGATCAGTGAAAAACAGTCAGAAAGCCACTTATCTGTAACACACCTTCTCTGTGGAAAGGTCAGTTTCTGTGTCATGTTTCTTCTGAGTAAAGACAATTGTAAACACAGCATGAGAGCGGCTGCTGGTTTCATTCATGTTGGTGGCTGCCACAGTCCTAAAATATGAACAGATATGAGCATGTTTAAAAAAGGACAATTACCTGCAGGGCTGAATGCAGCTGCAGAGGAATGAGAGCAAAAGGTTGCACAGGTGATGTGCTGCCCTGTAACCAAGATCCAGCCACACCTAGTATCATTCCCAAACTCTTTCACTTTTTCACTCCTGAATCACTCCCATCTTCATCACCGTTTAAACTGAGCTTTCTCAGTCTGTGTACTCAGTAATCCATCTTACATGCAAACATCCAAGAACACTTGAGCAGCATTTATGTGAGTCCTTCTCACACACTGTTGAATGAAGCCAACAGATTGCATGGAAACAATAATGAACCAGAAACCGAAGCTGGAATGCCAACTTTAGTCCTGACCACCTGAACTGAGGAAAGAGGAGACTATTCACATAGGTTTTTATACTAGGATAGTGACAGAGTACACAGCAAAGGCAGAAGTAAATGCCAGATAATTTTTTAGACTGTATCTGAAGTCATTGCAATCTTTAAATGTCTACACATCGATTTGCAGCACTAGTTCAGCACACAAAGCAATTTCAGCTTTTAACAGCATTGATCAGTGCCTATTTCAATAACACTCCTCACTTACAAGAGGTTTTTTTAACATGCTAATGCATAACACTGATAAGAATATATAACACAGCCCCATCACTTACCTGGCTTTGTTCCCAGCATCCATGAGGTCTGCAATGTCTGTGTAAGATGTGACTGCTAACTTGGACAGATCTTCCACGTAGGGTCCAAGGAGAGGATGTTCTCGCACCCGCAAGTTCCCTTTGTTCTTCGGGTTCAACAAGTCTCTGACTCTCTCACAGTAAATCTCCATGTAACTCACCTGAAAACAGGAATTTTCACAGACAATTCAGTATTTCTGAAGGTCACCTCCACTGCATTTCAGAGTGCCAGTGGCAGAAATTCCCCCAGCCCACCACAGGAAAGCTCCGGGTGTCTTGAGTCATTTAACAGCTTAAACACTGGCAGAGGCAAAAGTCTCCTACATCACACCTCTGACATAAGCTGCTGGCCCTGCATCCATGTATAGATCCTTCAACCATTTCAGAAAACGCTGGTGTGTAATGAAAAATTATACACTGGAATCCACAATCCCCTTAACAGCTTTAATATGACACATCACAAGCATCAAACAAGACAGATGGTAAAAGGAGTCTTCTTCCAAGGAATGTCTCCTATGAGCCACCAAAGCCAACTTAAGAAGGCAAAAAAGTTGATCTTTCTTGTCTGCAGAAGCAACTTTTGATTTTAAAAATCATGGCTATAGTATTTAACAACAAACATGCAGTCTTCCAGCTATTAGTAAAAAAGAAAAAACATCTGTAAATGCATCTCTAAATTTTTCAGCCCTTCATTTTTTTCAGGATTACTACACAGGTAAGGAACACTGGCTTTTTGTTGAGGGTAAAAAGGAGTCACAGAAAGATTTTTACATTTGTTTCAAAAGAGAAAAGACAAAAAGCCTTAAAAAAAATTTAAACCTCAAAACTAATCAGAAATCAGCATCTTAACGTATCATCAATAACCCAGTACCTAAGCTCAGTTTGATGTCCAGCACACAGACATTCCTTGATCCCTCACCACACTCACCTCTACAGAATATGACATTTCCTCATTGCTGTTGTCATTGATTTTCTCAAACAGCTCTTCACATAGCTGGAAAGAAATTAAGCCCAAGTCAGAAATGAGTCTTTACTGAGAAGTAAAAAGTAACTATCAGGACATGTAATGGAAATGGCTTTAGAATGAGGGCAGTGAAAGAAAATGAACCCAATGCATCAACCACACACAGCCTCACTGGGAGGATAATTCATCTCAGTCCTACACCACTATCACCCTTATTTTGTCTAGTATCTCAGCAATTGCTCTAGGTTTCACCAATGTCATTATTCTGTACTGTAACATAAGCAGTAAGCCTTAGTTCTGTTAACTCTTACTGCAATACAGAACACAAGTGTGTGTCTGAAGATGCTACAGAAACCAAATGCCCTTTCTGGGCTCGGTCCTACCTGGGGAATGATGCCTGCTTGGCTCTCCTCCTGCTTGCCCATCATGGTGTAGGATTTCCCAGCTCCAGTCTGGCCATAGGCAAAGATGCACACGTTGTAGCCCTCAAAGGCGTGCAGGAGCATCTCCTTCCCAATATCATTGTACACACGGCTCTGAGATGCAAAGCAGGGATCTTCAGGCTGGAAAGACACCAAAACAGCATCAATACAGACTTCTCCTATCATTTGAGTAAGATTTCAAAAAGCAAGTGGTTTTTTTAATACTTTTGTCTTGTGGGTCAATCCCTTAGGAAGAGGTAAATTAGGCCATTTTTACACACAGGTTTTTCCCAAGGTAGAACAAGATGGAGAAGAACAACAATGACAATGTCACTGCATTGTTTGTGAGAGTATCTTATTCTTAATCTAGCATTCTCTTGCTTCCTGAAACGTCGTATTTTAACATTACCTGCTCCTGAAATCAGGACAAATTTAGCTGTGCTAACATTCTAACGTCGGGATCAAGATTTTATCAGACTCTTCTGTTCCTTGATGCTGCTTATCTGCTAGTTTTCATGCATTCTGTTCATAATGTTCCTGTGACTGGGCTATAATCAACTTTCACGGCTGCTCTGAAAAACTCAGTAAGAGAGGCGAGTATTTTATTGTGAAAACAGTCTCGTTGACCACAAATTTGCTCAGAAATATTAAATGTTATTTCACCATCTAAGTTACTAGAATTAATCTTAGAGAAATGCATTATCCCTTCTTTGTACATCTTTTAGAAAACAAGGCAGGGGAGGAGGAGGTGGCAGAACAACACAGTTCTGCTGGAGAACAATTACTGGAAGTCAGTGAGAGCTTAGCACCGATTCACAGGAGGGTGGGGCACAGAAGCTGGATGAGAATTTATTGCTTTTGCAGCTATTGGAAACATGGATCACTGTGCTGCCTTTTCCAGATATGCCAACAAAACCCATACCATGTATCCCCTTGAACTGTAAGGACTCGAGCAACTGTCATTTGTCCAAGAGGAAAAATGAACTACCATGGCACATGTGCATCCTTAAAATATTTAGAACAGGACATTGTTGGAGAATATTTTCAGTAATCTTTCCAATATGTACAAGTTGTTTTAGCTTTCTGCTCTCACCCAAAAAGGGAAACACAACATACAATGTCAAGCTTTTAACCTGAATGTGGGTGAGAAAGACTGTGTAGAAACATCTGACAGGGGTGGCATGATCAGAAGAGAATGTTAAACCAAACAACAACAAAACCAGGCCTTCTTGTAAAAGCACTTACCGATGTGTGGGACCAATAAGAGTAGTCAAAGCTGAAGGACTTTGGTGCTTCCTTAGGATTCTTTGGGTTGATAATACCTACAGGAATAAAATTCAAACTCTTAGCTAAATTGACACTTAGGAGCATAATTAATAAGCTGGCTGACCCACAATCTGTGAGTCTGAGTATTCAAAGTTGCCACATGGCATATGAGTAGGAAGACTGTAGTAACAGACTCACTGCTTCCTAATACTCTTATTTCTGTAGGACTCATTTTAAGTAAGACAAGAAAAAAATTCCAATATGCTGTTGCTTAACAGAATTCTGTGCATTCCACACAACCAACAAAAGCTTTTTCAGATACCTTTGGGTTGGTGGGTTCAGTACTGTGGGGTTTTTTTCCTTCCCAGCAACAAAACTGCTTGGTATAACCTTTGCCTGCAGGGGAGCGATGCACAATGGATCCAGCTGTCATTGCAGTGGCACACACAATGCCTGTAGTTTCTGTGTTCCAAGGAGGGTAATTTATAAGCACAGCCCTTGTTGCAGAAGTGAATCTCTACTGCTTCCTTCTTTTTGATACTACAGTGATACTTAAATCTATCATTTCCAGCAGCTGTTTTCAACACCATCTGTGTAAGCAGGACTGCAAAAAAACATAGTCCTGAGGGTATTAGATAAACCACCCTGGATTTACACATCTGCCCCTGCACCTAAAGCAGCAATTTGCCCCTGGGAGTGAGACACTAACTGTGATGTGTGCAAATAAAGTCCACAAGGAAATAAGCCATACAAAGGTGTCAGCAGTCTTCCTGGGGATGATTTACATCCTGATACCAGACATCCTAGAAAGAAGATGCTTATTCGTCACATATTCTTCTAGTTTATGCTTTGTGAGATTGGAGCTTCTCTCTTTCCTCCTGTGATGAATAAAAATTATATCACCCACAGCTCTTACCACTTCAAACATGAACTTAGTGTCTTGTTTCACTGAAATCTCTGAAAACGTGGTTACAGGATCCCCATTAAAATCAAATCATTCCTCTACCAGAGGCTGTGTTCCTGAGCAGGGCTGTTGTCCAAAATGACAGTGTGGAGAAAAGATCACTGTCTGGATTGCAAATAGCAACAGTTGCTACTCTATTTCTCCTGGCCAACTCCGTTTCACTTGGATGCACCTTGTGCTGACATTCTTGCCTTAAAAAACCTGACAGACATGCAAAGCCAATGAATTATATGCACCAGCACAGTATCAAATTGCCAAAAATGCTTGTGGCTTTGGATAGCAACACGGGCATCAACACAGAACAAACTGTAACCTAAGCAATCATCCATGGTTTTAGCTTCCCTTTACAGCTTTGCCCGAACAGCAGCACAGCTCCACTCTCACTATTCCACCAGTCCTAAAGAGAACAAAAAACAAACCCCAAAGACAACTCCCTGCCCCAAACTTAAATTAGTTCTCTCCTTGCAGGGTATTCACACTGCTGAAACTCAACAATTTTCCATTTAAAAATTTAACATCAAAACTCTGAAATGTAAGGGAGACATAATGCCTTCTATCTGGAAGTCCCCACCCAAAAAAGCAGTACAAATAATAGAATCTCCACTTTAGAGTCTGAAAAGGCACTACAAACTTGCCATTAGTTCCCCTTTCTTGTTTCCAGCCTAAATTTGATCCATCACATTGGAGAAAAGTAAAGTTCAGGCTCTGATTTATGCAAGTCACTGCATTCGGCTCCATTTTTTTCTCTTTTTAAACCACTGTTGTTATTATTATTATTATTATTATTATTATTGTTATTTTCTTAGACAGACTTTCCTCAGCCCTTCATGCTGACTTCCATGTCCAGCTCACTACTCTGAAAATCACTTTTTAGGGTACATGCTTTTGCAAAGCATATCTTGAGAAGTGTATCAGGAAAAGGAGTTTAATGTGCAAGACAGCAGCTCTGTCAGAGGTTGGGAATGCAGCTGCCTGGCCAAAACCTTCCACTGCAGCAGGAAAGGGTCAGAGAAAGCCTCCCAGCTGCCAGGAACTCTGCATGCTGCCCCTCACCACTGGGATCCAGACACAGCCGTCGCACTCAGCCTGAAGTCTGTTCATCCCTGTTTCTGTTTCTTGCACACAGGCTACAGCCTCCATTTTCACAATTCTCAGTCCACAAATGAATCCAGCAGAGTTAACTGGATGAGAAAACAGAAGATTACAATCTCAACAGATTTCAGCTGGACTGAAACCCTCTTCATTTGGGGCACGGATCACCAGGTGGGTACTGCCAGCACTAGCGATGTCTGATGTAGTCTGGGTTTAAAACCAAGGATCAGGCAGGCAGCAATGTGATTAAAACACCTGGAAGATGATGAGACAGCTAAGAAACTAGGAATTCAAACGGAAATAACTGACCTCACTTGAAGTTAGCTATTGCACCAAGCATCATCTTCAGAGGGACAAGAAAACCCATGAAATCTAGCTACTTTTAAAGCAAGCTAATGGATATTTTTGAAGAAATTAAAAGGCTTCTTATAGTACAGGTAAGCTTTATCCTAAAAGTTCATGTGCCAAATTGGGAAAAAAAGAAATAGGGATGCAGAGATTAGACTGAGTTGGCAACACTGATTTTATGTACCATGTTTCTCAACCTGCTGTATTTTCCGCTGACCAAGGAAACAAATACAATTAAAACAGAAAGAGGACTGTTCTCAATGTCTCCAATAGCCACAAGAACACTAACAGATTTCAGTTACTTTGTTTGGTTTTTAAACCATGCAAGGCCAAGATGAATTATCTTAGTGAATCATGAAATAGGTCGTATCTATCTCCTCTCCCCACAGCAGCCTCACCGCACGGTCCACACACTAATGGTTTAATTACAGAGCCTCAGGAAATGAGAAAGGCAATAAAGCAGACGATCACAGCAGGAACGCATTAATAGTCTTTTTATCTTACAGAATAAATTTGTTTATCTGCTATTTCAAAGGTCCAGTGTGGCAATTAACTCTTCTGTTTGCAAACTGACACTGCTGCTTTGTGCTGCAGCTATAATTACCATCAGCATGGCACCGGAGCAGCTCTGAATGCTGCAGTTAGCCAGTTTCTGAGCAAATCCCTCTTCCAGGCCCCTTGCTTCACCAAGAGCCAATTTATTAGGTCATGGGGTATCTTCTAGCCTTCCACAAGCTAATCTTTCTGCAGCAAAGAGACACTGGAAGGGATATTCCACAGAACCACTGAGTGCCACACCACTGCTACGGAAACAGGTCACACCTGGAGCCCGAGGTGAGAAGGATGAAACACACTGAGGATAACACTTCTCTGCTGCAGTGCTGAAACCTCTTCTGGGATTGAAGCAGCAACCACAGCAGGGGTTAATGCCCATCATTTACCTTTGGAATGGAAGGCCAAAAAAAAGGCAAGAGAATGTTCATGGGATTAAAGCGTTTTCTACAAATCATTGATTTGGTTGAGAGAGATAAATGCCCATATTATTACTTTTCTTTATTTGAATAATGAATTTCTGGAAATTTTTAATAATAAGCTTCTCCTTAAAAAATAATATTTAGATCTGTTTTCTACCTTTGTACACAAATAAACTACAAGTCATAAACTGAGACAAGTAAAAGTACCCTGTGTGAACAGCTCTGCAGCAGCACCCACGTGAAGCAGCTGGTTTAGTACCCACTGCCATGCCCACCGAGAGACACAGCCTGCATTTTAAAAGCTTAGTCTCCCCTTACAGCTGTACCGTGAGCCAAGCTGAGCTGCTTCACACCATCCAAAGTTTCTCTAAGCAGGAGTAATTCACATATTCTCTGGAGCTCAAGCAATTTAAACAATTCTTTGTAGCTGCTTAGCTGTTTAAGTTTGATGGACTTTTTGATACCTGTAACTACAAACATTTTCTATCTCACTGACCAAAAGGTAAGGAAACACACAGTTTTAAACGAAATTTCTTACAGTAAATAATCTCATTTTTCTGAGTATTATGTAAGACCCAAATACTGATTGGTCCTTGTACAGGACAAGTACATAGTAGGAGCAGTACAGAGGAATAAAAGGAGAAAGCAGGAGCACAACAAATGAAAGAATTATACTCTCAGATGTGCTCTGCCAACAGCAACAGACCGATCTCCACAAAACATTTGGATTTTAACATACTCTTACTTAAACAGGCAACTTCATCTTTTGGCATTTTTATTTCCACAGTCCATCCCACTTGTTCCTTAATTAACATTTTATATACCATCCACCATCTGCTTTATCAGCTAGCACAAAAATAACATATACTTTCAACCTTTCAAATCTATGAGCTCAAATTCATCCCTCATTTTTTAGCAAACACTGTAGCAATACTTGAAAGACCACGACTGAAATAGTACCCATATATTTCATAGTATGTATTATATTGCATTCCTACTGTCATTTTTGGACATCCAAATTTTTTGCCTTATAATCCAATTTTCATTTCTGAAGCTGAAATTCAAAAAGCACAGGTCAAATATACCTTCGTTTTACACTTATAACCAGAGTGTGGAGCACAGCTGAGAGCTGATGCAAAGTTAAAACCTTCCAGGGTATTTTCAGCTGGAAGCAGCATTCTGTCTTCTCACTTCTTTCTCAACACACATACACACACACACACACACACACACACACACACACACACACACACACACACTCACAAACACATTCCCACTTCAAGCCTTCATTTCTGGACTTACACTTCCAGTCTCCTTTAAAATCAACCAAGTAAACAGACAGTGGGAAGCCTACAAAGGGGAGAAAAAAAATCCACAAAAGCAAGGAAACTTAGCCAAGATCAGCCCCCTCATTCCATTCCCATCTACTCAGTCACATAAATATTTTTGCAGGCACAAAGAATGACTAGAAGTGCTTCTTAACCACTCCAAACTCGTATCAGATTATGACACTGAATTTGCAGTTCAAGCCTGCTCTGCTCTTATCCCAGTCAGTGCTGCTCACAAATTTGTCAGATTAGAAATTATCTGCAGTTCAGGATCTGGGGATGCCCAGCACACACAACTCCTGCTAATAAGCTCTTGGAACAGAGAGACAGTGCAGAGCACTCAAGAGGCA